AATTTATTGATTATATGACTATATATATGTGCATGTATGTGTATACACTTATACAATAATTATATTGTTTATTGGTATAATTAATAGATGTCGCGAGTTATCATTGATAATAACGCTCCCACCTCAACTTTCTCTAAATTCTTCTTCCAAGACGACAATTACGACCTCAAAGAATCAAAAAACGTCTGAAAAACAAGTCGACATAATTAACCTTCTACAAAAAGCCGAAATAAAAGAAAACAATGATCATTACATATTAACGAATACACCTTTATATAATACTACTACTTCTAATACTATTGCTAATAATGCTGGATCTTCATCGTCAACAACATCATCCACATTTTCTTATAAGCCAACATCTATTCCAAATGATCGTCATTCGAAAGATTTACTTGAATTATTTAATATTAAAACGCCACCACCACCAAAAAGAAACATAATAGATGATCTTCCACGAAGATATCATACTCCTCCAGCAATAACTGTAAGATATTAAATAAATATGTATTTCTTTATATTTAATTATTTACACTTTACATTTACATTTCATCCACCCACTAATCCACCCATTCATTGATAAGCAAGTTATACCAATGGTTCAAAGGCACGCAATTAGTGGACAAGCACTTATTAGAACGTATGTAAAATACTAATATTAATATCATATAATCCTTTCTCTTTTAAAAATAATAAGATAAATAAATATACAAATATCTTATAGAACATCTCATGAATTTGAAGATCAACATTTAGTTGACATGATAATGGATGTATTGTCGGAACGTGGATTTCACGTAATGTTTGATGATAGGGTTCGTGAACTACCAGTTAGAATTGATATGAAGACACATGAAATTATTCTGGAAAAGTAAGGAAAAATATTAATTATCATTATATATAACGTAATAATAACAAGAGGAATAATAATAATATATTCATTAATTGTTGCTTGTATAGACGACATGATTATTTATTTAGTGTTCGCTTTCCTAAACGTATAATTCAACCACTTGAACAAAAATTTCATTAATCATATCATCATCATTGTTATTATTATCATTATTGGTGGCAAGTAAAATTTTTTTAGAAAAACTTTTTGATTTTTTTAAAAAAAATAGAGCATTTATTAGATGATAGATTTAAATTTTATTTTATTTTTTTAATTCATGTATATTTTATTCATCAAAATTATTAATAGATTTCATTTTTCATATTT